GTATTTTTGAATAATTTTGTGTTATTATTGAAAATGAATTTTTTTATAGCTGATGATATGGGCTTGGGCAAAACACTAACTATGATAGCTTTGATTTTGATCACTCTTGCTAAAGATTCTGATGAAAGTGGTGATGATGATGATGGTAATGATGCCATATGGACTAGCAAGAATAGATCTTCACGTATGTAAAAGTTTTATAGAATTTTATAGAATTTATAATAGAAACAAGTTTTTCTATAATTTTTAAAATATTTGCTTCCTTAACTTTAATTCATTTAAATTGTGATACTATATTCAGCATAAATTATGACAATTTTGATATGAATGTACTTAATATAATAAATCTGTTAAGATGAATACATGTGATTACGATAGATCATAAAGGTGGTACTCTAGTAGTATGTCCTGCGTCTTTATTGTCACAATGGGAAAATGAAGTACGGAATAGATGCAAACGTGGTTTATTATCTGTTGAAGTGCATCACGGCAGCAATCGACAGAGCGCTCCTAAAAAATTGGCGAAAAATGATATAGTCATCACGACATATAATATATTATCTCGAGATTATAAAATCAATTCTACATTATATAAGGTATACAATCAAAGCTTACAAATATTATTTGACCAATGAGTAGACAAGTAGAAACTTAATCTTATTAATACGTATATAATATAGATCTGAGTTTTTAATTTAATTGCAAATTGAAATTTTATTACAGATCAATTGGAAAAGGGTTATACTCGATGAAGCGCATGTAGTAAGAAATCACAAAAGTCAAGCATCTGAAGCGGTATGTGGGCTCGTAGCGAGTAGACGATGGGCTCTCACCGGCACACCTATACAGAATAAGGAGTTAGATTTATATTCCATACTGAAGTTTCTTAAATGCTCACCTTTTGATGATTTACGCGTTTGGAAGCGATGGGTAGATAATAAGAACGCTGCGGGCCATCAAAGATTGGCAACCGTAATGAAGACAATAATGTTGCGCAGAACTAAACAAGAATTGATGTCGAAGGGCGAGTTGAAAAGTTTACCCGATAAATCCATCGAGGAAGTGATAGTGCAACTCGATCAACAGGAACAATTGGTTTATGAAAAAGTTTTAGCGTATTCCCGTACTCTGTTTGCACAATTTTTAACTCAACGTGCAGAGAAAGAACATATGTTAGATTTGTACAGTGGCAAATACAATAAACCTTCCTTTCTCTCAAACCCAAGTAAGATTTCATTTAAAATAATATGCTATATCTTGCGTACTTCTAATCATCGAAATGTATTAATATTTATTTTAATGCGCAATTATCCGTTTTCTTTTTTAAGACAAGGAGACTCAGTTCACAAAAGCACAAAATAAATTATTGGCGTCGCACGCCGACGTAAAGACACATGAAATTTTAGTGCTTCTATTACGACTACGTCAAATATGTTGTCATCCAGCATTGATCCATGCAATGCTGGATCAGGAAGATTTACAACAAAGTGGTATAATGGATATAGAAAACGTGGACTTCGACTTATTATCCCGCATGCATAATATATCACTTAATGGAATTGATAATGAAGAGGAGAACGCTGGTGTTGATCAAAGAATAATGGGAAATCTACTTACCGCCGAGAATCCGGTGTTTGAAGAAGATCGTATTAGCTCTAAGGTGACTGATAATTATATACTTTGAACAAACTGTACTATTTCATTTGGTTATAATTCAATATAAAATGATTCAGATGAAGATGCTACTTGACTTGGTTAAAAAAATTTTGCGAAAAAGTGACGATAAACTTATTATCGTTTCGCAATGGACAATGTTGTTGGAAATTATAGCATCACATTTGCCTTCAATAAAAGGGGCTACTTTTAGCAAGTTTACAGGAAGTGTTCCTATTAAAAATCGACAGGTATGGATTATCGATATCAATATTACCAGTGTACAATCACGTTCATAAATATTTTGTTATTAATATTTTTGTCACATTTCACAAAAAGTTAAATATTTTGTTGAAAAAAAATTGTTGAGAAATTTTTGATCACGCATTTTAAAGCGCAAAAATAGGGCTTTAAATCTGCGCTTAAATTTTTTTTTCTACAGCATTAAATTATATAAAATTGAAAATTGATATTGTAATATTTTTATTTCACTCTAAAGCGCTGCAGTTTGATGAAACGTAGGGAAAAATTTAGTATAAAAATATTTTAAAATAGGCTTTCTAAGTGCAGCGCTTTAATATAAGACAAAGATATTGCAAAATGTATCGATTTTCAATTTTATGTAATTTAAAAACAAAATGTAGAAAAAAATTCAAACAGATTTAAGCACTTTAGATTAAAGCAAGATTAAAGCACTTTACGTTTTAAAATGTGTGGTCGTAAATTTTTATACGATTGTTTTTTACCGCGATGTTTAACTTTTCATGAAATGCGACAAAAATATTAGTTTATAAACAACAATATTTACAAACGCGACTGTGTATTTTTATTATATTCTACCCCATTAAAAAATTAATACTTATGTATTTTTCTTTCAGGGTATAGTGGAATCTTTTAACAGTCGACATTTTGGTCCGAGAATTCTGTTACTGTCACTTACTGCTGGCGGAGTGGGATTAAACTTGGTAGGCGGCAATCATTTATTGTTATTCGATATTCATTGGAATCCACAGTTGGAAACACAAGCGCAAGACAGGATTTATCGTTTTGGTCAAACAAAGAATGTTTACATCTACAAGTTTGTATATCGTGTTTGATTTCTACGTATGTTCTTTGCAAAGTTCATTTTAATATCTTTGTTTCCATTTTTAGATTTATCTGTGTCAATACAATAGAAGAGCGTATTAAAGCGTTGCAAGAACGAAAACTTCAGATAGCAAAAAATGTACTGAGTGGTGATACAAGCAACGCGGTTGGAAAACTTACGCTGAACGATCTCAAATCTTTATTCGGCTTCTAATCCATTTTGTCTTGTAATAAATAGAACAACAGTTGATAACTTTATATTACATAAAATGTTTTATTTAATCATAATTATAAAATCGCTATCATTTAAGTATATATATATATATATAATATTTCCTATATTAAATATAATATATTTAAATAGTTTTGATAATAATACACATTTTAATAAATGAAATAGTTGCATTACATTATGAATTCTCTATGGACAATTTATTATTTTCTTTCTATTAATTTTATTTATCTAAACTATTATCTATGCTTTGATTGTTTTAACTGTTGACATGATTATATTTTATTTGTTTTAAGTTCTCTTATATTAATACGTATCAATTCATATTTTGTTATTTGTAAAATAGAATGCGACATTTACTTTAAAATCAATAAATTAAGGTATAATACAATATAATAGTTTTTATTTTATCACATGACATTCTCTTATTTACTTTATCACATTTATTACCAGTTAATTTTGGTGGTACTTAGAAAGGATAGCGATTAATAACACTACTATTACTATTTAAATTAAGCCCGATGTACATACATAATGCGCTATTAATCGATATTAATGGACGAGTTTGGATGGGTGTGTTCGGATTCCCACCCCGGTGCTCCACAGATGCAATATCATCCTTATTTAACGTTCGGTAAACAATAAGGATGGAGTGATATCTGAATGGCATTCGGGTGCGAATCTGAACATAGCTCAAGGGAAAGTTTTTACTTTTAAAAGTAAGTTACAGTTACAGTTTTTTTTAAAATAAATTACCGATTTTATTTTGATTATTCTATTATTAATTTTATTTTTATAATTTTGTCAGTTTTGCAAATGATTGTTTTATTTTTTTAAGATCTTAATCTTTTTGAGACCATCTAACGATCGGTGCCAATTGGTATGGGGAAATAAATTTTTGGTATATTTGGAGATTGATCACTGGAGTCTATACAAGGCTTAAATTGTTATACGAAGAATGTAAATCATGACTTTAAGTTTACTACGCTGAAGAGAGCTAAAAATTAGTCGAAATGTTTGTCTTATTGTGAATATTACATTTTTTTAATCGTTAATTTCTGTAATAATTTTATGCGCATCACCTATTTACAATGTGGGTTTCTAATAGCCTGTTGCTCCTCTTTTTGTTTTTGATTAGTGTATTATGATGTTTTTTGTATAACAATTACTTTTTCTCTTTTATAGATTCAAAAATCCTTTTCCTAGGAAAGGATACACTTTAAAATATACACATTAATACGTGTTTGTGTGTCTGTGAGATGGAGTTTATTCCGAGAACACAAAAAAATTCAAAATTGAGTTAAAAAATGAAACCTTTACCCTTTCTTAGTTCAACATTTAGAGCTGTCATCATGACATTTGGTTCATATAAAAGTGTAATCTGTAGTTACGAAATAATAGTCCACATACTAGTAGTTTGTACGAAGATACAACGTGGAGTTCAGTTCAATTGGACTTGGGCCCACAACTCATGATTAACTTTTAATCGAGGTTCAACTTGTTTCTCATCTCTTTCCAATTCTAGAATTAGAAAGAGACAATGAATAAATTGAACTTCAGTTAAGAGTTAACCGTAAGTTGTGGAACTGAGCCTTAGACGTGTAATTAAAACGTTATTGTTATACGAATATTTATGCCCTGGTAAAAAAGTTTCGCTGAAATTATTCTACGTTTTGGAACATTTTAGTGAAATTGCTGAAAATTTGCTGAAACTTCACTGAAAGTGAATTTTTCAGCTAACATACTGAAAAATCACTGAAATCTAACCGAAATTTCTCTGAAATTCTTGTTGAAATTTGTCTGAAAATTTTGCTGAAATTTTTCTGAAATTTTGTCGAAAATGAATTTTTCAACTAAAATTCGTTAAAATTAAACTGAAATTTTTGTGAAATACTGAAATTTTGTTGAAAAGTGTTCCAAAACGTGGAATAATTTCAGCAACATTTTTCCACCAGGGTGTGTATGTGTGAGATATTGATGTAGTAGTATGTAGTGATATGTCAATGGACACGTAAATCGTGTGAGCCCTACTTACGCTATGACTAATCATCTTTAGGGTCCTCTTAATTAACGATGAAACATCAAATATTTTGACAGCGCAGATAATAATAGAATGTGTGTTACTTTTCGATGTGCTCAACTTCTTTTTTCGTACTCAATTGTTTTTAAAGTTCTTAAGTATTATAATTAAATTAAAATTCCAATGGAATAGAATAAAAAGTTTTAAAAGTAATATTATAATTAAGGTTAATCAGTAAAAATCTATTTCATTTATAAAAATCAAAATAAAAATTTTAAAAAGTATTATCCTTAAATCAAGTCTCCTAAAATGAGGGACACTTCATATTTTGATTGCTTCATATATTATGTGACTGCTTTTTTGAAATAAATTACTCTATAAATTATTATTTTTTAACTTTATGCTTGCAGTTAAATAGACCATAAAAATATTTATGATATAGCATAAAATAATTCGTTTTTCCTTTTATTTTTTGAGAAATTCAAAAGAGACCAAGTTTCTTAATATTGACGTTATTAAACAATATTTTTTGTATTAATAATATTAATTTAAAGGATATAATATATTATTATATGATATTATATTATTATATGATTAATTTTATTTTAAAAGAAATGACAAGAAAGTTATTTTAAAGTTATAACATTTACAAAAATACATGAATGTGTTTATTTAATTGTACGAGTATATAAACAAATATGATATGTTATAAAGTATGTAATGCTTTACAATTATTTAAGAGGGAGTATAATATTCTTCGGTATAGTAACATTTATCAATTGATCATATAGTGATGTTTCATTCGAAATATTAACAAGACGTATATGTTTAAAAAATAATAAATTTATAACACCTGGAGGTATCTCAGCTGTTGAAAACATGTTACAATATGGTGTTATATTGCATGAATTTTCACTTTGTAATACAATAACGCAATTGCCAATAAATAGAGATACTGTCAGAAAACTGAACAATTTATTTTCATCAATATGATTGAGAAGAATTATACCTCTTGGTGCACGAATGACGGTTTGTTCCAATCTTTCATTTTGACAGGTTAATGTATTTTTATATGTCTTATTTAATAATTTTATACATTTTGACATTGTCTTTGCTAATAGATATTTGCTAAAGCAAAAAAGAAACTTTGTTAAAAATATTATTTATTAAGAGTATACGGACACATATAAGTATACAAAAAAATCTATAGAAATATATGTGTATAAACATTTTTTAGTAAATTAAAATATATACCCATTGTGTTCTAATGTATGTACAAGATTACTTAATATTGTTACTCTAGAATTAATAGGCAAATTACTCCAACTTTCAAACGCTTCGATAGATGAGTCTTTGCAATTATTTATATCTTCTCTGCAATAAATTATTTAAACACATTTATATAACGTAAGTTTTTTAAATTTAAATATTTATTATAGAATAAGAAGGAAAGAAGAGTACATGTATTCGAACCTTGTTGCTTGTGCACATATATTATCATTATGTATCCAATATGTATCATTCACGGGCTTTTGCCATGTACCATTATAAAAATGATTGTAAACTGAACCTGTACATGTATTTAAATTTATTTTATCTTCATCTTCAGGCTGTACAAGTTCATAACGTAAAATGGAATCCAATATTTTGCTCTTGAAAGGAAGATTAATACTAGTACCAAACTCCAAATACGCATTTATGAATATAACATCCTTCTGTTCAAAATAGAAATAGTTTTAATAAGGTTTTAGATAGTTTAGGCAATTGTATTATATCATTTAAGTTATATTACTTGTAGTTTCATTGCTAATGTTTTTGCAGATATACTATCTTCTGACCATATGGACATTATATTGAAAGATGATAAAAAATCTTTGCAGGAAGTAAATAATTCATTTCTTGAATGAAATATAAAAATAGGTAAAACCACTATAAAAATTTTTTATATTTTTTTTAAAAAAGCCATAAAAATTTCTGTTTTACTGATTCTTGGATAAAAATTTTTTTCATTTGTAACAGAAAACACGGTTTAATCTTCAAATAGGTAATAATTGCATACAAATCTGAATCTTCGAACACAATCATCTCTGTGGTGTAATCTGTAGAAATTTAAAAAATCTTAATTATGAAATTAAGAAAATATTTTTAAATTGTAATATGTTAATTTTTAAATATTATGTTTACTTGAAATTAATGGCTCATACAATGCATCTACAGTTGTCAGAAGAGAATTATCACTAAAAAATATATAAATGTTTATAAAAGACATAATGTTACCTTTAACATAAAAAGTATTAATTAATATTTAATAAATAATTTAATAGTACAAATTTATTTAATAATATAAGTATTTTTGGATAATTACATAATAGTCCTTTTCAAAAATAATGAAATCTCGTGTTCTTCACATATAAACATTAAATACATTATATTGAAATCATTCATATTGAGCACATTCTCTAAAAATAGGGAAAAAATATTTCTACATAAATATATAATTCAATGTTTCATTGTCATAAGTTGCTTTATAAAAATAATATGAAGAATAAAGAAGCAAATTCTGGACAATATATCAATATATGTATAGTATATCACAATTGCACAATTACTAGAATATTAGCATAAGTATCAAACTCACTATCAAACATCGTTTTTATTCCTTTAGCATACAAATGATCAAGAAGAGAAGTAACAATATCCACATGGTTACAAACAGATTTGAAAACAGACAAATTCTCTTCTATTACAGAAGCTGTTTGAAAGAATCTATAAATGCAAAAAAGAAAATAAATAAAAAATATAGCAACAGCTTTATATTTTTACATCATTCTTAATTTAGAGATAAGTATTTATGTACTTACCTATCTGAAACATTATTTTTTAATTTCAGATTTTCAAGTAAAGTGGATATCTTGTTCAATACTTCCTAACAACACATAAAAAATAGTACGGAGCATTATTTGCGATATAGAAAATACAACATAGTTTAAAATTCAATATTCTATTTCACAATTTCTCAATATATTATTCATATTCATATTCATATTCACCTGCTTGTTGATTTCATCATATACTAAGATGTTGTAATATCGATTTATAGCATTTATTCGTTCACACATTCTCTTGATTATTAGTCAATTTCCAGCAATATTAAAGAAGAAGTATGTGTGTCTCGCTATCTTTGAAAACAAGTGAAGATGATTTTGTGTAAAGAGAAAACGCTTTGATTTGAAGCAACCAACTGGTAATCGGTAGCGCTTTATAGACAATCCTTCCTTACATTACACACTGAAGATCAAATAAGTAAATATTACGATTATGTGATATAACCAGTATAACATACGTATCTAAACAGTACGCATAATAATGTCCAAAATTAGGACTTAAAAACGGCTTATATATCTAGTAAATAGTATTACATCCCCGATGAAAATTTTTCTTAAAATTTATATAATTTTTCAAAATTTTTATATAATTTTATAACTTTTTAGAAAAAATTTCTCAAATTTTTTATATAAAATAGAACAATTTTTTGAAGTACTGAGAACGTCTACATCTTTTGTAGAATTTTCTATTTATAGATGTGGTATCAATTTTATGGTCTTCACTATTATAAATTTTATCTGCGTTCTCTTTGAGATGACATAAAGATCCTTGATGTCTTAAATTGATTATTACATATTATTTTTTATTTTCTCATATCATTCATTATTTGATCCGAGAATGACCGCACATTAAAGATAGAAGTTTGACTTTTTTTTTATTATTAATGTATATATTCATAAAATTCATTTATTCTAATATAATTAACTAGCGTAACTCATCACAGATCACCTTCTAAGTTCTTGATTTTTTTTATTTGAACCTTTAAATTATTAATAATTTCTTCTTGCTTAATGTGAAAACAAAAATTGTATCAGGAATAACAAATTATATAATTAGAAATATTGTTTTGTACAATTCTACTGATTAAGTTAATCAATATTTAGTCATAAACTAGATTGGAAAATATATTTGTGAGTTAAATATCGGGATATATCATTCTTGTTGTTTATCATATATTAAACAAGAACAAATTATATTAAGCACTGAGAGCGTCAAATATTGGGACTATTTGTATGCATATAATTTGTGTGCAATAAGATCTGAAGAACAGAACAAGAAAAATATAATAACAGACGTAACTTTGGAATACAACGTTCAAATTTAATAGTATATTTTCATTCTTGTCACATGACTCACAATTAAATCGTCACTTCCGAGGAGAAGATCGCAAGAAGCACTGAAAATTTGCCCAATCTTTTCATGAGAATTCCCCAGAATCTCCAGGAGAAGCCTGAACTACCTGTAGCAGTCCGTTTCTAGTGAATGTAAAGCGAAATAAAGGTTGTGAATGAATGGAAATCTTACAATAGAAAAGAGATCCGTGAACAATTATTGACATCTAATGTATGCTAATTGCATACATAATTTATACAAGAAATCGTCAAAAAGCAAATCGTGGCAATGATAAATTGTTGCAACAAAGCATTACGTCAAATACCATATTGCAAAGTAACAATACTATTGCAGCTATAATTGTGACAACAGCAATTTCGTTAGAATAGTATAAAACGCAGTAGATTGTATCTCCATAAATATTTGTTTAAATAAAAAAAAAGGGAAAAAAGGAAGTAAAAATGACAATTGATTTGTCGACTGTGCCGCTTGTTGCAGCCACTATTGCGAGCAGACAAATTATCGCAACAATGTTAAACCCCGTGAAAGTTTTACCAAGCGATAACGGTTTGCCAAGGTATTCTATCGTTCGTGATTTAAATATGCATTTTCGAAAATATCATGTGTGTTAATTAATTTTTAAATAAATTATAAGGGATTGGAGAGGCTTGGCGCATCAGTTAGAATTCAGCTCAAAATTTGTGTCAATGCTTGTGTCACATTCTGATCCAACAATGCGCATATTCACAGAGCTGGCAGACAAAAATAAAAAAGACATTACAATAAAAGATTTTCAAGCAATGATGGAACAGATGGATAGATGGGACGTTATTGATGACACTGAAGCTTTGTTCCGTATGTACAATATTATACTAAATGGAACAAAAATTTATTCTTTGATATCGTTTGATAAACAGATATATAAATAATATAAGGATAAAAGACTGTAATAATTACAATTATCATTGAAAGATATTTTTATGTTGTAGAAAGTGATGCTGAGAGGTATTTGGAGCATCAGCAAAGAGCTCAAATGTCAGCAGATCCGATGGACGAATGCATTGATAAAAAAATACTTACTTTAGGTTTGTTTAATTGTTCATAGTGATTTTAATTTTTAACTTATTTTGTGCAATACAATATACTTGAGTCATGTACATAATTATATTAAACGATATAATATTTGTAATATATGTTTTTCATAGATGATATTCACAGATTAAAGCAAGGTTTAGGATCGCAATATTACGATGCATTTCTTTTATATGCAGAAGAGGATATTGACTTTGTGAATGAGATGATTGAGAAGCTTGAGATACAATTTAAGCTAAAGGTATTGCAAATAAATGAGATTTATGTATGATTTCTTCTTATATAAATTTAAGTAAAATTAAACTGCGTTATTGCGCTTTCAGCTGTGTTTGAAAGATCGAGATTTGGTAGCTGGTTTAGAATTTGAACATGAAGCAGTAATGGAATTAATATCTGAACGGTGTAACAGATTACTCATTATAATATCACCGAATTTAATGAAACATTCAGCAAACAAATTTTTTTTAAACTATACTCAAGCTTTAAGTATCGGTATAATGTTTTTATATCATATTTCTTTTAAAATGCAATTGAAATGATATTTTGAGTATTGTTTTCTAAAAGATTCATATATTTCCTTAGAAAAGCGACAAAGAAAAATTATACCATGTATATACAAAAGCTGTGAATTGCCATTTCAACTGAAATATATATTTAATTTGGATTATAACCGTAAAGGATTATTTGATTTTTGGGGCAGATTACGTGATTCTATACAAGCTCCGAATTCTACTGCTATAAGGTAACATAACTCTTGTGTTCTATTTGATTTAATATATATAATAAATTATTTTAAGAATCTAAATGATATCATTAATTTTATAGCAGTTCAACTCAAATAGGAAATAGCAGTATAATGCAGACTACAGAAATAAAAAAAACTTTCTCCGATAAGTACAGTGACGAACCTCACATTACTCAAAAAATAAATGAAGAAGCATTAAAATCTCCACAACAGAAGAGTGAAAATTGTAAAAGTGAAATTATCGCGAAAGCAATAAGTGATATAGAAACTTTAAATGTTAATAATAAAAAGAATAAGACATTGTTACGATGGGAAAAAATTACTTCAAATTTGAAGACGAAGCAAACTAAAAAAAGTGATCAGTTAACTACAGAAGCAATTGTTCAAAATCTGCCATCAGTAGATAACTTAGACAGCTTAGATTTATCAAGTACTCACGTATATAAGAAAAAGAAGAAAAATTTATTTAGCAAGTTTACAAAGAAAAAAATTCCTGTGAAGACTTGAAGACAATCTTTATACAAAGAATTGTATATAAAAATCATATTTATATGGTATGTGCAGAAATACATTTAAACGTTTATACAATGTAATAGATTTAGGAAGATATCCCTTCAAAATAAGTTTTACATATATAACAATTGTACATATTATATGTTACCAGAAGATTAAGAGTAGTAGTATAAAGAATAGTTTGTTACAGATATGATACAATATATGTATTTATTATTTTTTGTTGAAATTATTGATCCAAATATGATACATTATTGGACTTAACTGAAATTAATTTTGTTACATAAAGAGTTAAAAAAATTATATATGTAAGTTATAAGATAATGTAAATATATATACATATTATGCAATATGAGATTAATGAATATACATATATATATATATACACACATATATATATATATATAATCAGGGTTGGGAAGTAACACATTACTCGTTAACGACGTTACATTTTCTTTAGTAACGAGTAACGAAATTGACCCCATTACTATTGTACCGTTATTTTTTTATAAGTTACAGACACAATAAGATTATAGGTAGAGGAGAAGATGGCCAGTGTATATATTGTGGCCTCTCTTAATATCTCCGCTATTATATAGCGAATCCTAATGATTACTTACGAAATTATTAGTTCAGTAGCTCGCCGTTACACCATGACGCTAATATTACCAATACTGAATAGCCAGCACTAATTATAATGCATTTTTACTTTCAAGTATTTTGAAACGTTTTTGAGGTACATTTTAGCATTTAATTACACTTACTTCCTCAAACTTTTTCTTAAACTTGAGTATTATCACATGAATGTATGTATTTTTGAGTGTGTTATTTGCTATTTAACATTTTATTTGACTATATATTTTGAGTTATGCAAATTTAAACAGCATTGTATTTCGCTAATGTGGCCATCTATGGATATTGATTACTCACGACCTCTTTTTTGAGGTTTTTATATCAAAATAATTATTTGATATGTTCAATTGTAGCTCTATTGTTAATCTATAGTTTATATTACGTGTACTATTTTTAGTACTGAGATTTTTAGTACCGAGCAGCTCTTACCGTCATCCTCTTACCCTCACCATCTCGCCCTCATCGTCTCACCCTCACCCCACTGCACTGCCAAGACAATGGTTTATATTAGGAGATATTATGCAGAATGTCCAATGAAATGGAGGCTCAATTAAACGGAATTGTGTTATAAAAAAAGCTAACGGAGCTTCTGCCTCATTATATGTAATTTGAAGCGTTTTTCCATATTTGAGAAGCTTGTCATCTAGAAACTATAAGTAAACCAGGAGGAAGTCAATAAATGCGTTCCGTGATGCAACTCGAAATAACCGTGGAAACCATACGATCCATTAGAAACGCGTATAAGGAACGATGCCGTATTTTAGGAAATGAGATTTACGAAGATGCAAGGGAATGCCATTTATAAAGTGAAGAATACGAGGGATTCCGCTTGCAAAAGTCCAAAAACCGTTGGACGTTTGGAAGCGTTTTCGTACCGTCACATCGCGCAGTTACGTAGTTGTGGATTTCAACTGCATCTGGATGCAACGACGCATCTAATAATATTAGATGAGACACCGTTGCACGGCAACGGTTGGAAATGAATGTTTCAAGCGAATATTCGTCGGATCGAAGACCTCACGAGATTTGAGAGTATATAACAATTTAAATAATATAGGCATTTAAATAATACAATGCATATTATTGTAATTTAACTGATTTTTTCGATAAAAAAAATCTTAAAAAAGCATTTGCGGAACTTCAGATTGTAATAGTGAACTGAGTACAATGCGCGACAGAAAGACAATAAAAGACACTCACATAATCGAACTTGAAAAGATACATGACAAACTCTTATATAAATGCACTATAAGAATTATAAAAAAAATATTAATAGAGTAAGAGCGCAGAATGAAAAGCAGCGAATATACAATATCATTATTTTTAACAGTGCAATGCAAGTAATGAAATATGCACGGGTAGGAAAGAAAGGAAAATCTACTTGCTAAAGAGCAAGTATTTTTAACGGATTTATTTTTAAAAAGTCAGCAAATTGATTTAAATACATCCAGAGAAATGTTTCTTTGAATTGCTATCGTCAATATCGTTAGATACTCAACTGTAGAAATATATACTCTTGTAATTTATATTTTATAAAAAATTATTTTTAAACTTTTACAGTTTTTACTATTGAGTTTTTTTCAGTTTCGTGTACGTCTTTTGATAAAAGTTATAAAACATGTAGAAATTAATCAATACATTTCCCATGTATATACAGAAAATAAAATAATTTGTTACTTTGCAACCTGACAGGATGTATTGCAATCCGTACAAGATCATCACGATGAATTGTACCTACAAATAAAGTGAGTTAATTTATCATTTAATTTCTTTGATATTTTTGACAGATATTTATATCATACGATTTATATAATACATTTTTAAACTTGTTAACAGTATTTATGACAAAACAAATTAATCATATAATTAACTTTTGTGAACTTGGCACCGACTTGTAATAAATTAAATCTTAGTTTCATTTCAAACTCATTCATTTCAAACTCAGTATTATTTGTGCACGTAAAACGCTGGGTGCCGAACTGTCATTTTGTCTATACAAGCTAAACTTTTATATTAAGGAAATATTTACATCAGGTGACATCTCTACGAGTTGAAAAAATGTAAGCTTATAACTTTTTTTTCGATTTTAGTATAAGTCCACTGCAGCACCTTTCAATTTTGTGTCTACTTTAATCTTGTGAAAGGATTTTTGATTCCGTTCAGTAAATTTTAAGATTTGCAATGTCTCGACAATTTGGTCACTCCAGCATTCCCTTAACTTAATTTATTAAAAATCGAGTGCCAACTTCACGAAGATATTATACAACTACGGAATGAGAAATATTATCGAGTCTCAAGAATTATTGTTATTAGATTATTAGTCGAATATGTGAAATAATTTGAAGGAAAAAAGGCAACGTGAAAAATGTGAAGAAAAATTAAGAGAATTTACCATCTGTAATATAGTTATCCATCGTTTTATAGGTGCGACAGCTTTTTGAACATTTGGTCCCCAAGCCGCTAAGAGGTAGTACGTGTACATTATCGTGTGTATGAAGCTATTAATGATGCTCATAAGTGCTATAGGAGGAATGGCGTAATATCTTAGCGTTATCCACGCCAAAAGAAAGGTACTCACATGATGGTACAAATGCAATGCGGTTACCTGAGTATCCTTCTTCCTTAATACAAATATGCCCGTTTCCACATAATCCAATATTTTTAACAGAAAGTAATACCATAAGCACCTAGTTATCTACAACAAAATTTAAGCATGATTAATTTGTGACATATTATTTTATGAAATCTATATGAATAACATCATATAAATAGCATTATTACATTGATATAGGTATGTACACATTCGATATATTAACAATAAAACTCTTACTGGACCGTACATTTGAAAATTCAACAATAAGAAATAGAAGTAATGGCCATAACGGTCAAAGTTAGATCTTTAATTCTTAAATAATTCAATTTGAATTACTATATACAGGATGGCCCATGTAAAATGTTACAAGCTATTATCTCTAAAAGTGTGTGTCAAATGACCAACATGTTCAGACAAAAGTTTTATGACTTTGAGGAGAGCATAAGATGGTACCATTTGTTTGACCTTGAGTAGCGTTGTCAAAGTGAGAGCAAGGCCACTTTGAATTTTTTTAAATGGAATCCCTCATTTTTTATTATATATTCTTGTAGCTTACCTTGACAGCTTTCCAAAACACTATAATTAAGTTCATTTTCATTAAGTACTTTTCGAGTTACCTATGAGGCTTGAAAATTACAATATATTACCGGCATTAGCATTACACAAGGTTTCCGATCGACGGCTAAAACTTTTTGAATGTTGTTCAGGATCATGTCCTGGATAACATTTGTCAAGATCAAGGCCATTGGAGGTTGTACCTCTTATTTTCATTTTTACGTAAAAATAAATTTTTAGTGCAAAAATGAAAATAAGGAGAATAATCTCCAATGGCTTTGATCTTAACAAATGTTATCCAGGATATGATCCTGAACAACATTCAAAAAGTTTTAGCCGTCGATCGGAAACCTTGTGTAATGCTAATGCCGGTAATATATTGTAATTTTCAAGCCTCATAGGTAACTCGAAAAGTACTTAATGAAAATGAACTTAATTATAGTGGTTTGTTTAACAATCGTCGGTCGGACAACTTGCGTAATGCTAATGCCGACTATACTGTAACTTTCGAGCCTTATAACTCGAAAAATATTTAATGAAAAAATATTTTATTATAGTGTTTTGAAAAGCTTTCGAGGTAAGCTATAAGAAAATGTAATAAAAAATGGAGGGTTCCATTTAAAAAATTCAAAGTAGCCTTGCTCTCACTTTGACAACGCTACCCAAGGTCAAACAAATGGTACCATCTTATGCTCTCCTTAAAGTCATAAAACTTTTGTCTGAACATATTAATCATTTGACACACACTTTCAGAGATAATAGCTTGTAACACTTTACATGGACCACCTAGTATACTATATATGTACTATTTGTAGTCATTCGAACTGCGCGCCGAATCAGTTTTCTGGACTTATAAACGCAATTAAACTACCATAGCAATATCACGAATTAAATTGACAAGCAATTTTAATAATTTGATGCTCAATTAAGCATCCTGTGAAAGATCCTTAGAAAGATATTAATACGAGTATATTAAAAAACTGAAAAAATTTGATTAGGCATCAAATTATTAAAATTGCTTGTCAATTTAATTCGTGATATTACTATAGTAGGTTAATTGCGTTTATAAGTCTGGAAAACCGATTCGGCGGGCAATTCGAATGACTACAAATATGGTATATATATACATGTACATATATAGTACACTGAAAAAAATATTTGTGTTAAATTACTCATGATTATACTGGGTTTTTTTCTAACCCAACATAATCATGTAACATTACTTAAATATGATTGTAAAATTTTCTGAATGATTGGAAAATTACATAAATCTTTAGGTAATTTTACAATCATATTTAAATAATGTTACATGATTATGCTGGGTCGGAAAAAAACCCAGCATAATCACATAATTTTATACAAATAATTTTTTTAGTGTACCTATATTTTATAACATATATATTTTATTATATTATATTTATATATTTATGTGTGTTAAATAAAAGAATTTCCCATAACGTCAAAATAAAGGACAGTAAAGGACAGTTGCTTAAAATAAAGGACTATCCGTTATATTAACAGACGTATGGTCACCGTACATACACCTATTATTCTCAAAAAAATTTACAAATTATTACCCTCATTGGAATATAATTGTAGGAATAATCTAAAGTAGGACACATTAATTTGATCGAAAATAAACCACTGTCAAGATAGTCGTATATTAACCACGCATTTATCAAAATTTGAACGATATTATACAACTTTATAAACTTCTTTAATGAATATGGCGGTCTGTTCTTCATAAATCGAGGCCCATAGCTGAGCACGAAGTACAAGTACGCGAATATTATAAATGGTACTTGATAGAAAGAAGCGATTAACGGTAAATCGGCTACCCGTGGATCTGAAAATCAAATTAATACATTGAAAGACATATGAACATTATCAAACAATAAGAAGAAAAGACAAAAGTATTATTATTGCAATAGGAAACAATTAGTTATTAAGACATTTGCATTTTTATCAGTATTTAAGTTTTCAGCGTATATAAAATAAAATAATTGAATCGACACGCTACGATAATATCGGAATTGATGAATTATAGGTATTTTGCAATTATTTATTAAGGGGAGAATGGGTAAAAATCGTCGATTTTTCCCCTAACCGAGAAGTGAAACATTTTTTTATAGTTTTTGAGCTGTAGAATCACGATGGAGCAATCAGTTTTTCATAAATATAAAAAGAACATATGTAAAAATGTGATTGAAGTGAGTAAATTAGCATAAGATTTTTGTCATAAAAATGAGATACATAAAGATCCTTTTTAATGTTTTAATTCTCAAAAACCATCAAATATATGACATTTTGTTATAATAGAGTTAAAATAGAGAAGGAAACAAGCGTACGGAAACTCGAGGGATGTAAAACGAGAATCAGATGCACGTGTTTTGCATGTCATTTTCTAGCCTTCTTAAATTCTAGACTCTTAGAGTTTATTCGCGGACTTGTGCACTTCAGACTCATAAATCTTAGTCTGAAAACCCAGACACTTTAATTTCATACGCTTAAACTCTAGATACATCCCAGTCCACTAATTGTCAATTTAATGTGAATATAATTGACCTTTGTCAATTCTATTCATACCGTCGGCATCAGCGTTACTCAAATGTGCACCGCGAGGAGGTTGCGCAATCGGATTTTGCACATCATTTGGTCTTAAAAAGGACCGATTCTAATTCATATTTTAAGAATCGCAGATCCTGATTTGAGCGCTAGATATCCTTGTCTAGCATATGGCAATGCTCGGTCTATTTATATTATGTCTATGATTTATATATGATCAAGGCGTATAATATCTGTACTTACAATACGGATGTTAAAGATTGATTGGATGAGGTTAGATTAGATTATATCAGATTATAAGGTATAGGCTGAAGACGATGGACAATCGAGGATGGAAATTGAGGATGTGTATAGCTTTTTATGACTAAATAATGATATTTAGTTATAAAAATCGATGATTTTATTATTGACTTGCATTCTTAGAGTTACCATACGTTTGTTTCCTTCTCCATTTCAACTCTATCACAACAAAATGTCATGTATTTGATGATTTTTGAGAATTAAAAACATTAAAAAGGATCTTTATGTCATTTTCATGGCAAAAATCTTATGCTTATTTATTCACTTCAATCACATTTTTACGTAAGTTCCCTTCATATTTATGAAAAACTGATTGCTCCACGTGATACTACAGCTCAAAAATTATAAAAAAAACATTTTACTTCTCGGTTTGGGGAAATATCGACTTTTACCCACTCTTCTTTAATATTTATGTATTTGTTATTATTATTTATTTTTAACGCTAACACACATTCTCTACAATAAGCTTAATTAGTAATAAATCAGAAATTAGAAGTTAGAAATTAACCAATTATAGTCAATTATTCTTCTCACATTCGAATGTGATTGGTTAATTTCTAGCTTCTGACTTCTGATTTATTATACTAATGGTTTATTGTGGAATGTGTGTAATGTTCCACGCATTGCTCATATCGCTGAACTTATTATATTATGTCTATTTCATAACGAATGACATTATATTTGCTTTAAAAATTTGAAATTTTTAATCACAAAATATTAGTTTTTTGTAATCACCTATATGACAAGTTTGATTTAATATTAAGTCAATTGATTTCATTTCATATTAAGGATGTGAATTTTTCTTGCCAAGGCCCCTATTCTGTAACTTTTAATGACAGTATCCATATCGTTATGTGTCGTTGCGCAGCTTTTTCACCATATAAAATATCTGCGCAACGACACTGTAACGATATTGACACTGTTGTTAAGAATTACAGGATAGGGCAGCACATCTTCGTAGGAATAACGAAATTATAATTTTCTTAAAAATAGTAAATGATTACTAAATCTTGAATAGTTGCACTGTGATTATTAATTTGACGAGTTTTTGCTAATAATATAAATGGTACTCACCGAGCTTTTTCGTCCATTCAGATAATATGTTTTGTAAGAGATTCATGATAGACAATTGCCTTATGTCAATTTTATAAATTACTGCCTTTGTTTAAAAAAATACCGTTTAATTACTTATATCGAGAAGCAACTACATTGACGTAACGATCGACGTTTGCACGCACCTTTGTATTTATATGATGAGCTGCCTTGCACTTTACTCTTAGTTTTGCATAAGACTTCTTATGCTTATCTTTAACGTGATCTTATGACTTCGATGTATGTATCTTATTACATATCATAATGTGTGATCTATATATATTAGTGTGTCCGGTGACACACCTACTATTCGAATAAAAAATGATTGAAATCTCTCTCTCTCTCTCTCTCTCTCTCTCTCTCTCTCTCTCTCTCTCTCTCTCTCTCTCGAATACACATCTTTTTTATTCGTCAAGAAATGAGAATAAATATTTTTTCATTCCATTTGAATGAATATTTTTTGAATATGATTACGAATATTTTTGTTTCGTATTCACTTTTATTCTGTATCATCTGCACATAGCCTGTAAGCTTACAAGAGAAAACAGAAATCTATAAAAACAATGCGGTTACAATTACATCGTGCTCTTAGTCTGCGACCTATACGATAGGCGTTCTTGTTTAACCTATAGATTAAAGACATTTTTATTGGGAATAAATAATGGCTATAAATAATAATTATAATCTTCCTACATATATTACAAGTGTTATGATACGAGGTACATATTTCATGTAATATATTCATTGCATTTAGTGCACTGAATTCAATCTGCGCACTTTGTATGCTTTGGGCATAAATCCCATCCGCTAAAAATGCCGTATATCCCAAACAGGTGGGATATACAAGACAACAGATTAAACAAAGAATACAAAAGCAAAGCACTTGTATTTTGCTATACAACATGCTTTACTTATTCCTCTACACGTATGTATCATGAAATAACCACTAGGTCTTTTACACGCCCTACAATGATTATTTTATGTAGATTATAATTTATGATGGCGCTACTTATTACAGTGACAAATCGATTCAACTCACAATAATTTCATTAATATTAAAAGTAAAAAGCTGAAATTATATTCAATTATACTGAATACTAATATAACATAAAGGCAATGTAAGAATATGTAATGTTACTAAAATTATGATTATTACTACTATGATATTAATCATAATAACTATATATAGTTCTAGCAACAACTGTGTATATGTAGTTGGCAACCTAAAATGACTATAATTATACACAAAGAGAGTTGGAAAAAATATGTTGAATTTAACATAAATCGCATGTCCCAAACGGTCCATTCAAATTTTTGAGTTAATTTTATACAAGGTGAATATGTTAGAAGGTAACACAAATATTATGTAAGAGAATAAATAAAAAAGAAAAACGACATCGAGAAAGATATAACACTCGATATAACATCATTTGTATACAAACAGTGGGAACATATTGTTTCCGAAAATTAATATTTATATTTTTATATGTTAAATAACATAAATGTATGATGCTGAAGATAGCAGACGGACTTATAGCAGATGGCCGCGCTCGATCAGCGGTTCTCATCACGGTTATGATTTGAGCGCATATTGCGCAAAAAATGGTTCTAAGTAGATGATATCAATACAAACGTTATGTGTCAGTTGAAAATAGTCTTACAAAGTGATATTTCAGGTTTAACAAAAAGAACACGATAAAAAACGGTTTATATGATTTCCGAGACTTAAATGTTGCATTCGGAAATATAATCTTATCTAGAAACTTATTAATAACTTTTCTTCTGCGAGGAGCCTTTTTTTAAAATTTTGCACACACATTCTGGGTGGTATTAGGAAGTCACCTGTACAGTTTCAAAAAAGGCCTCTCTTAGACAAAAAGATATTAACAAATTATCTTCGGAGAGAGAGAATTTCCGTCTGCCGAGTTAATTTGTTAATAACTTTTTTTCTAAGAGGGGCCTTTTTTTTAAACTGTACAGGTGACTTCCTAATACTACCCAGAATGTATGTACAAAGTATTAAAAAAAGGCCCCTCCCAGAAGAAAAGTTATTAAAAAATTATCTTCGGAGAGAGAGAATTTCCGTCGTCTGCCGAGTTAATTTGTTAATAACTTTTTTTTCTAAGAAGGGGCCTTTTTTTGAAATTATACAGGTGACTTCTAATATCATCCAGAATGTGTATGTGCAAAGTTTTAAAAAAAGGCCCCTCTTAGAAGAAAAGTTATTAATAAATGTCCAGGTAAGATCATATTTCCGAATGCATCATTAAGTCTCGGAAATCATATATACTATTTTTTATCGTGTTCTTTTTGTTGTACCTGAAATATCACTTTGTAAGACTGTTTTCAAGTGACACATAACGTTTGTATTGACATCATCTGCTTAGAACAATTTTTTTACGCAAATACGCTCAAATCATAACCATGTTGAGAACCGCTGGTCGAGCGCGGCCATCTGCTAAGTCCGTTTGCTTTTCAGCGTCATCATCGAGAAAGATAACATTATTTGTAAATAAACTGTGGGAACATATTTTTTTCAGAAAATTGACAATTTTGTTGATATCAAATCTTTTATACGAATGATATAATACATATCATTTATGCCCGTTAATTACATTACTAATGTAAATTAATTTTAATCTTGGTTCAACCTACTCCCCGCACAGCACCTTTCATTGCAAATATATTAAATACGTATTTATATTGCATTTACATTGCGTTTCATTTCATATCAAATATAATGTATTAAATACGTAATTAACGCAATGAATATGAAATATCCAAGTCGAAATACGTACTTAATATGTATGTAACATGTAACCAGGGCTGGGTAATCATTAAAAATGCCAAATATAAAATACTTAAAAAAAAATGTATTTAAAATGTAAAATGTTTTTCGAATCCACTTTATATGTAAAATGGGTAAATAAATAATTTAAATAGTTTTCAAATATATAGAATAGTTTTCCCTATCATACATTTTAATATACATTTTTTTAAGTATTTTATATTTAGCATTTTAAATAGAATTGCATTTTAAATGGCATTTTAAATGCAAAAATACCCAACCTTGCATGTAGCAGATATATCGTGTATATTCAAGTCGAAATATGTATATAATACGTATGTAATATGTAGCAGGTATATTCTACTACATACCCAAGTCGAAATACGTACATATATGATACGTATGTAATATGTAGCAGGTATATTGTGCATATTTAAATGTATGGATATCAAATACGTAGTTGATACATATATAACAGAATGCACAATGTAATAATATGTCATAGGATGGTGTAGTAGCACCGTAGTAGCACCACATAACATTAAAAAAATCATAAACGGATAGTTTTGAGTAAGTGTCTGTGCATGGTTATTATAATCGACTGTATCTAAGAATAACAAATTTAACAATATTAAAGTATCATATTAGATTGCGATGTTAACACACAACAATCAAGAAATAGAGACTTATTTCAGTCAAACTTGAATTTGTAGTGTTGATCGAAACAATTCGTGTGAAACAAATCTAGGTTAAATAGTAAAAAATAATTTAAATTAAAAAATAATTTAAGTTTCCACAGGAAACTTACCAATTAATTTTTTACTATTTAATCTAGATTTGTTTCACACGAATTGTTTCGATCAGCATTAAAAATTCAAGTTTGACTGAAATAAATCTCTATTTCTTTATTGTGTGTTAGTTAATAATAATAAATGTAAAGTTAATAATTAATAATAAATACGATTTAATTGTTGTTAGTATTTTATTTTGCTTTAATCAATATCTTATTAAATATTGGTTTTTAGAAAAATTTGTGTTGTATGTATTTTCGACGTTTTCGTATAATTTCGCATTACTAAATTTTGTTAATTATTCTCCTCTAATATAATTTTTATTATATTTCGAACAGCATTTATAATTGTACATTGTATTGTAAACAATTATTATTGTATTATTGAACGTAAAAAAGGATTAATAAAAGATGGTCAATAATTTCTCTTTATCAATCGAACGTAACGTTTTGAAAAACATTCAGCTTTTCATTTGATGGTAGAATATTGTTAATTTTTTCATTACTATCCGTCAATTATGTAATTAACGGAGTTCGCGCAACAATTACTCACTACTGGTCATCAGCAGTCGACGCATTCTGGCTTGTCAGCGACGCCTCGAGATGGCAATACCGTCGCGCGAACTCCCGCGTGGCGTCGCTCCCGTACGCGCCTGATCGGTAGCGATCGTGGAATGGGATTCCAATATGGCAACCGTCGTGTTAGCCGCACAAGTCAGTGTCGCGGAAATGTTTTGAACTCGCTGAGCAGGCAACCGCGACGACCGGCCGACGTGCGACACATAGGTTAGTAGGGCGATGCGTAAACGCGCCGGCTGCGAAATGCGGTCGGTCGACCGGCGCGTGTCACGTAAAAGCTCCGCGAATCCGGGCCGCCCTCGGATCCGAGGACGGTCGCGCGCGTTTTCTCCGCTGTCGCGCGCGCGGTTCCGCGTTTAATAATCTTTCCGCGGCTACGGGACCGACCCGACGTCACGGATGTCATCGCTGTCCCGTGGACCGCACGAGGGTTCGACGCGCGCGACGAGTCACGTACTCCGTAACGCGCGACGCCGCATCGTGCCGCGTCCGGATCCGTATTGTGTACGTTTACGATACGACGATGTGAGAGTATCTCTCTCTGTCAGTCGCGCCGATCGTCCGCAAACTACCGTCTATCCTTTTCTCTCACCCTCGCATCTCCCCCTCGCGTCGCGAACGCGTCGTCTTCGCGCGTCAGGTGTGCGACTGCTGTCGTTCGTTACTCCTCTGTGGGTGCGTGTGTGCATGCATCTCTCTGTGCGCCCGTGTGTTTGTGTGTGTGCCGTGCGTGGCTGGGTGGCGGCGTGAATGTACGAATTTGTTTTGAAAATGTCGCTCACGTCTGTCCTCGCTGTTCCCTCTTTCCTCGCACTCCCGGCTTTTTCCTACGTGTCTCTCCTGTCATGTGTCACGCGGTTGACTGTCGCCGCGTATGCATGCGTGCGTGGGTGCATGTTTGGGCATCAAGAATCCTTTCTCCGCTGGTGGTCCACGACGTCGTCTTCCGCCTGCCTTTCGCATCGTGCCACGACGACGGTGTGCTTCCTGAGATCCACGGCCACGTCGGGATCATGTCACAGATACTCATCATTACACCTAGATCTGGCGACGTTCGGTGAGTTCACGATCTTTCCTTTTATCGGCATACTTTCGGAGTATCGAGTACCCTCTCGACTTAAGATGAAAAAACAGGTTTTTTTACTAAGGAGAAAAACGAGTTTCTTATACGGTAAAAATCTGTTTCTTAACTAAAGTAATATGGAATTCGTATTAAATATGTAGAAAAAAGTATAGAATTTATTTTTCTTGATATTCATTGTTAAAATATTTGATATCTATGTCATTTCGACATTATTTAATATTTGTTTGTTTTTATAATTTCAAATCGAGGCGGAAACAAATTGCGTTATTCTAATAAGTTGATATTTTTTACCGACTATGGACTAAGTACTATCGCTTATAATTATTTGGACGACAGATATTTTGTATTTTACTCCAATTTTAAAAGCTAAATAAGCAATAACTCATCCTGTTGTTTATTAACATCGATACCTTATTAGCATAATTGACACTGTTTTGTTGTATGTATTGGTTTTAATTATATATATTCTAAATTTTAATTATTGAAGCAACGTCCCAATATAATATCGATTTAAAAATAGTTGGAGATCGATTTGATGAAACGTTGTTTCACTAATTTACATTTTAGAATATGTAATACAATTACAACAAATGCATAACAAAAGTAGCGTCAATTATTCTAATAAGGTATTATTTGTACTAACAATAGTATGGAACACATTTAACTTTTAAAATCGGAGTATAGTATAAAATATCGTTCGAATAATTATAAACGGTAGTGTGTTTATATCCACTGCCAATTAGTTATTGATATTACATTTTGATTTTTATACCTATCTTTTCATAGAAATCTTTTTTTGGATGAATGCAGAAACTAAATTCTAGAACAATAGTATACAGTGCCAAAATCGTCAAATGCTCCAAAAAATATTATATATTCGAATAAAAAACTTCCAGGGACTAAAGAAAAAACTGCGTTTTACTGAGTCTTTTATTTAAAGTTTTTGTTTTTTTTTTTCGATCATTTTTATCTCTACTTACGACAGATGTCTTCGACGAGCATGAGATGCGGTTCGAGATCGCTTCTGATTGCAAAGATTAAATTTTTGTCTGTTAAACAATATTACATGAAAATCGATCGATGAGATTAAATACACATGAATGAAAAATGTCATATTCGACCAAGGCGATTCTTTGTGCCTAATAATATTTCTTGTGAATTTATACAATTTCCAGTTCAAATAAACAGTGCGTTAACAGCTTTCTAAGATGCTTATGTGTATCAATAATGTTAAATTGTTTGTCAATTTAATCTGTGATATTGCTACTTCAGTTTCGATTTAGGATTTGTTTCAAATCCTACAAATAATAGATGCACAGTTTGCTTGAACTGATAATTGTATGATTTAATAAGAAATATTAGACATGAAGAATCATCTTGATTGAATATGACATTTTTTACTAATATATATGTGTAATATTTCATTTCTTAAATTTTAGCCAACAACGTTTATATTATAAAATATTCTATTATATAATTCTCTCTGTCTCATACAAATATTGATGAAAATGTTTGAAGCAATTTTGAAATATCTCATTTGCGTTTGCAGATACATTCTGAAATGGTAAACATGTCAGGAATAGTATAGAAATGCTACCTTGTATTTTGAATTTTAATATTACTTTTATCATTACGTCGAGCATTATCAAATCTTATTAAATGCTCATTAATTTCTGTTTTTCGATATTGTTGAAATATCGCAGACATATACCTACAATTAATTATGTTGAAATGCCGCAGACAACGTGAGTAATGAACGGTTTATTTCGAAGAGTTGTATTTTCATTCAACATTTGTATTGGATTTTGCTCCATTCCGAGCATTATCCCGAATTGTATTGTTCCAAGTTTAATTCCGTTTCTCTAATCCAAGATTCTATATTCTATTTTTTTTTTTTTGAGATATATAATAAGAATTCTTACAGCATTGAGAATGTGGTTAATAAAAAAAAATTGTTTTTATATATAAAAATATTACTACAGAACTTGTTGCGAACGTCATTTTGCAGATTTTTATCTTATGTTGTTATAATTTATTAGTAGGTAATTAATTTATTAATTTATTATCATAAATATATAAGGTAACTCCGGCAAATACACCGCGCTAGGATTTACGCCGCAGAAGTCAGAAAAAATAGAAGAAGTGAGGGTAATTTTCCCGCAACTACTCTGTTACATGCCTTTATGTTATATTAGTATTGTGTTATGATTTCAGCTTCTTACTGTTAATATTAATGAAATTATTGTGAGTTGAATCGATTTGTTACTGCAATAAGTAGCGCTATCATAAGTTATAATATACATAAAATGATTACTGTAGGACTCAGCTTCTTACTGTTAATATTAATGAAATTATTGTGAGTTGAATCGATTTGTTACTGCAATAAGTAGCGCTATCATAAGTTATAATATACATAAAATGATTACTGTAGGACGTAAAAGACTTAGTGATTATTTCGTAATACACACATATAGAGGAATAGTAAAGCATGTTTCATAGCAAAATACAAGTGCTTTGCTTTCGTATTCTTTGTTTAGTTTGTTGTCTTGTATATCCCACCTGTTTGGATATACGGCATTTTTAACGGACGGGATTTATGCCCAAAGCAAAGTGCGTAGATTGAATTTAGTGCACTAAATGCAATAAATATATTACATGAAATATATATCTCATGTCATAACACTTGTAATATATGTAGGAAGATTGTAATTATTATTTATTACTTCATATGCATATTTATCATTCTTATTCCTTAATAAAACTTTATAAACGCATTTTATAAGTCATTATGTCATTTTATGTCTTATTTATAAGCATTATTTGTAAATTTTTCATGAGCCGTACATACCCCTCTCTTCCCTATAAGCCATCCCATCCCCTATAGGATATACGGCAAAAATGCAAGGGTTTCAAAAAGTTCATTTCTTAATACGAAAAATAAATATTTCGGATTTCTAATATTTTTTTCATAATAGTAGACAGTACAAAGTTTTTACTGATATAGTTCGTTT